GGGGAAAGTTCTCTGGGCTTAATGCACTGTCACCTGCCTTTCTTAGAAGTCCTTCCAAAAAGCTAGAAAAGCACATTAGAGGTAAAGAGAGGTACTGTTATAGAGCGCTATAAGAGACAGTGGATTGCCTGAACTCTTCTTTAAAAGTGTCTTTTCTATGACTTTCTATGATAGTATAACTATTTTGAGGTTTATCACTATAACCATTTAAGCAGTGCTACCCAGATCCCTCCAGTGGTGAGAGATGATTGAGAGCACTCGGCATTGATCCCTCCAGTGGTGAGAGATGATTGAGAGCACTTGGCATTCACTCCATCCTCATTTCAAGTGGCTCTGTTCTAACGACTTTGATTTTCAGGCCATCAGACATATGACCTTAACTCACTGAAGCTAGAGAAATGTAAGGGCCCATACCCTGACCTCCTTCAGGGCCACAGTGCTTCACTCTCACTTTTAGACTACTGTGACCTTGGTGTTTATATCTCAGACATCAAGGGTGATCTTATGTCATAAACAGAATAGGAAGAAGCAAGACCCTTTTTTTTTTCTCTCCCTTTCTCTCTCTTTCTTTCTTTCTTCTTTTCTCTCTCTCTCTCTCTCTCTCTCTCTCTCTCTCTCTCCTCTCTCTCTCTCCTTTTCTCCTTTTCTTTCTTTCTTTTAGTTTCCAATAGGGCATGTGCACCAGAGAGAGACAGAGAGAGTGGAAGTGAGAAAGCACCTCCATGGTAATGGCCAAGCCACAATCCCTTCTACTCCATTCTCCCCTTGGGGGTGTTGGAACACACACAGATACACTCACACACACAAACACATGCCCAGCATGTTTTTCAAGCTACAGAGTCAGACTCGAACTGTGTGGTGGGCTTTGTGGGATCCACAAAGCCACCTTGACCACCACACCACTGAGTTTCCCAAGAAGCTGGACCTTTTCTTAACCCATGTCTACTTGCCATCTACATTACATCTGGCTGTGATAAATGTCGTATGTCCACAGCAGAGTGTGACACTCCCCTTTGCCCAAAGCTACTCGTGGTATCATTTATGAATGACATGAAGCTAGCTTGATCATCCCAAACTAACAAAGATTTGATGAAACTCAAAACTGATATGGCCTTTTGATTCTTGGCAGGGGAAGAGGCTGCAAGCTACCGAGTAGAGGAACATTAGGGTAGTGCCAAAGGGTTGCAAAACCATGTTTCCTTCTTCACTTTTAACATCCTCCCACCATATCACAATTCCACACTGGGAGCTGCAGAGGAAAACTATTTTTGGTACCTGCTCAAAACTGGATAGAACATAAGACAGCCATGTAAATTGTGAACTATCATTCTTGTCTCTTTGCTGCAAAAGAGTGAAAACATCATTAAAGTGTTAGTGAGAGAAAAACTCTAAGCAAAGATAAATTCTACAACCCAGCATGTCAGATCACACTGTGCCTCAACATTGAAGATGAGGGACATTATAAGTAGGAGGAGAGTTGTAGCCATGGTGCAGCAGTAACACAGCACTCCATGGTGCTGCATGCACCCACATGGGAAGGTCCTGAGTTTGCATCCTGAAGTCTCCTTATGCACACTGGGCATGTGTGTGTGCACGTGATCTTAACTGACTGAAGCTGGGGTAGATTATAGCATGAAGACCCTGTTGGGTGTCTCTCTCTTTCTCTGCCTTCTCTCCCTGATTCTATCATGAAAGAAATAAAAATTTGAAAATTAACTTTAAAAGCCTGCCCTATGACCTAGTGGTTAATAGAGCTAGAGTCCACATGGCCAACTGCATGGTTCAAGGCCTAGCCCTGGCAGCTTGAAAAACACACTGGGTGCATGTATGCTCAAAATCTCAACAGAATGGAGAAATGGAGGAGAAGGGATTACAACATGACCACACCCCATAGGGGAGAAGGGTGCTTTCTTCCTCTCTCTTCTATCTCTATTAAGTGCATATACCCTCTGGCAAATATTTTTAAAAAATTAACTTTAATAAAAAGTAGAGGAGTGGAATATTTTGATGCACTCTGCCAGTGCTGTTCTCCTGGTGGAAATGTGTAATGAAAGCACAGTATAATCAGATGTGTCAGGCTGTGGGGTCTAAGAAAAATTAGAACTGGGTGAAATTGGAGAGCTCAGTGAAAAGAGGCTGATGCCAGTGGTGATGATGACAGTGGGGACAGAAAGGAGGGTTGAGATATGAAACATTTTGAAGAAAGAACTGGGAACGCTTCCTTATGAGCTGAATATGGCCGATGAGAGCCAATTCTGTGTAAATTGGTGAGCCAAAGTTGATTAGAAGAACGAAGGTGGGTGAGTATTAGCACAATCCAAAGTATCAGGAAAACAGCCAATGTGTACAAGAGATGGGTTATTATACCTAGTTTGGATTTGGACAGCCAGAGTTTGATATGACCATAGGATATGCAAGAGAAACCATTTAACCGACAGTCAAGAATGCAGAAATGAAGTTTGGAAGGTGAAGGTGTAAGCTTTAGACACAGTACTAGAAGCCAGGCACTCTGTGTGAGAATACAAAAGGAGAAAGGCAGAAGGCAGAGGCAGGGAGCCTGGGGGATGCCCATGGTGACGAAGCAGCCACAGGAAGAGGAGCCAGGAGAGGCAACTGAGGAGAGCTCCTACATGCTCAGTCACTATCGAGCTGAGTTTTCCCAGAAAGAGCAAACCAAGCAGAGACCCCTGAATACAAAAGGAGGGGTCATTCTTTCCTCCTCCTTTGTCTGTTTTTCCTCGTCCAACTGGTGCAAGGGGGTGAGAATAGATGAGACCCAGTCTCTGCAGCTCACAGTTGTATCTCCATTCCTTGCTTGGATGTTGCACTTTTCCCAGGAGCTGACAGAATGACTATTAAAAGGGGAGGGGCCTATGTCTACTTGATTAACCAAAGGTCATTATTGGGATCCTTACTCGGGGGCCAAGCACTATGAAGGAATCAAAAAAATTAGAAATCAAGATTTCTGTCAAGGTGATTACAATCTTTGGAGCTCAGCAATACCAGCCCAAGTCAAATGATCAGAGATCATTCAGATACTCAACTGGGTGGAATCAACTAGAAGAGCAATATAGGCTCAAAAGAGCAGATGTCACTGTGGGCTGAAAAGGTATTGACACTATTATAGTGAAGAGCCCTGTATGAAGGGAGAATGGAATGGAGGAAGAGGCAAAGAGGGCATTTCCACAGGAGAAAGGGCATTGAGCAAGGGGCAGGCCAGTTACGGTGGAGAAAGAGGGCAAGAGCAAGCCGGTCTTGGCTCAGGAGGACAACAGTAGCCAGAAACATTGCATTTGGAACTAGACAAGCTGATTGAGGCTCTTTGGTGGGAGTGTGATGCCAACAGGCAGGGAAAGGTCGTCCTTCGCTAGCATTACCACATGTGAAGACGCAAGAGCTGAGAGATGAGTGGTTATCACCCAGCTTTGGGAACAGCACTCCCAGCCTCCTGCCTGCCCCCCTTCCTGGCATTAGTCCTGATCCATGCCAGGGAGGCTCTTCTGCACAGCATGTTCTGATCTCTCAGGGATGTAGAGCATCCCTCACCCCCTCACATATGTACTGAGCTGGCGTGAACACCAGCTCGTTGGCTGAGTTCCCCTGGCTTGATCCCCAGTGTTGGGAGTGAAAATGTAGGCAGAAAAGGACAGAGAAGCCAGGAGTTCCTGTGCTTGGAACTTCCCTTGACAAGTGTGAGGAGAGTTTCTTTCTCTCCCATGGTCCACAGAATCCCTGCTTTCCATGGTTTAGCACTCTCTTTGCCAAGGGGCATGGGGGACCCCACACTGCTGTCCTATACCTTTGTCCAAAATTAGAGTCTACCTCTTCTTGGAACTTTGGCCTTCAAACTGAATAGGATGGAGGGATGATGCACTCAGGCTGTAGCCTCCTATCTACCTCATTTCTGGGACTCTACCACTGTTTTCCCCAACTAACACTTGACTTCTCATTGTGGCTGCTCCTCTTCCAGCCAGCTAGCCAAGCACCGGGCATACTCATCTCCCTTCCCAGGATCTCCATCCCTTGCTGTCCCCTCATCTTCACTACCACTCCCTTCACCCAGCCCTGCCTCCTCTACAGTCCCACTTCCCTCTCCCATGTTATTCCCAGTCTGGCCCCAGAGCCCAGCTCGCTCTGCACTGTGTCCGCATTAGCCACTTCATTTCCCTTGTACCTTTTCTTTTATCCCTTCCCCCATTCTTTTTCCCAGATGTGGCATTGAACAGTATCCTTTTTCCTCTCTTCAGCTTTCACAGTCTCAAGGCTGTATCTCAGGGGAGGGAGAAACGGGGAATGAAGTGCTAAGCCTTTTGAGTACACTCTCTTTTCCATCAACTTAGAGGTGGCTAAAGGGGCTCCAGAGAAAGGAATTGATGTAAAGTAAAGTGGTTGTGTACCTCACAGTGGCTTGTCATGTGTGCAGTTTGGGGAAGCCCAGGAGGACACGGCTATATAAGTAGTAGAATGACATCACAATGGTGTGTGAGTGGGAACCTCAGTAGAGCTGGGTCCTAGGCCCAGTTCATCTAAGCATATATAGCCAAGGTAAGTTACTCCAGACCCTGCAAACCCAGGGTTTTTTTTGCTGAGCTGGAGAACCAGGTTTGCCTACACATACTGGAAAAGGTAGGAACTTTTTAAAAGCAGGTGTTGCAATACCTCTCTGCTCCATCGGGCTTAAATTTTCATCAGGCCACCCAGTGATGTACTGGAAGAAGGGATCCACTCTTAAGTCTCAGGATTGAGTCTGGTTTTCATGGAGCAAGAAGCTGTCATGACAACCAGTGACAACTAACACAGCACCTGCCCAGACTTGTTGACACTGGAGCTTAGCGCAAGGGAAACTGAATCACCTGCATCACATGTGTCCTAGGACAGCGGGCTAGAAAGGCAGTTGGCACTTTAGTCAGGGACAAGGGACAAAATCAAGAGAGCCTGGACCTCGCTTCTTGCTTGCCTCGGCCTCCAGCCTCACTCATGTGCCCCTCCTTTTACTGCAGAGAAGCCACGGATGAACAATATCCTGACATCGGCCACAGAGCCCTACGACCTCTCCTTCTCCCGCTCATTCCAGAACTTGGCCCACCTGCCCCCATCCTACGAGTCTGCAGTGAAGACCAACCCCAGCAAGTACTCGTCTCTGAAGAGGCTAAGTAAGTTGGATTTCCACAAGGTTGGGGTCTGTCCCCAGGGCCTCAGAGACACCCACTGTGTCTCATACTTTTGCCCCATACCTAAGAAGACAGGTGTGGAATCCCAAGAACAGAGAGGGAGCTGAGGGATGAAGGAAGAGAACAGGCAAGCCTCTTGTTTGTGTTCTGTATGACCTGAGTCCACCCTTCCCTTAAGAGACTAGAGGGGAGAGTTCTCGGATCACACATAAGAGTTGAAGTTTACCCACAAGAGGAAGCCTTTCCCCAGCTCTGTTTCGGACCCACCTTCTTCAAACTATAGGCCTTTCTTGCTCTCCGTCTTCTGATAGGAAGGCTAGCAATGGCCAGTGCATTCTTTGAACTCCCCAGAGACCTATAAGCCAGCTCCCACTCTAACCCAGCCAACATGCCTTGACAATCTGAGCTCCCTACCTCCCCCACATACTTTCTGTTTCACCAATTAAATAAATCAAGCCCAGTTTATCCTAATTCTGCCCTTTGAGTCTGGGGAGTCTCTGGGCATCAATAGGTTTAAGATGCTAAAAGTTTAAGAAAGTCCCTGGAGGAGTTACTCAAATGAAATCTACTTAATAAATAACATTAAAAAGAAATATTTTTTTAACAAAAAGAAAGTGCCTTGGGACCAGCAGGTGGTGCAGTGTGGTTAAGGTGCTGGATTCCCACATGGCCATCTGTGGTTCAAATCCCAGACTTGGTGGCTTGCTTTCTCACTTTCCCTCTCTCTCTTTCTCTGTCGAGCACACATGCCCTATAGCAAATTAATAATAATAATTATTATTATAACTACAAATAAAATTAAATCAATAAATCTTTTTAAAAAGACATAATGAGATTCCTTTAAATGCTCTTAGAGAGTGAAAATAAAAAAGAGTGTAGAGCAGTTACATGGTTGTGACTGTGAGACTACAGAGACTGGGCCACAAGAGGCTTTGGGATTTTCCAGCGTGTGCTCTTCACAGAGGCAGGAGGCCAGCTCTCCTGGATCCCTTCACTGTTCCAACCTCCCTGCCTTCTGAACAGACTGCCTAGCATCCCCTAGCCCCCAACATTCTTCTCAGAAGAGTTGGCACAATAAAGACCAAAAAAGAAAGAAACATATCCTGTGTCTCTAGATCTCCTTAGAACTTTGTCTAAGACACAGAAAGTCTCCTCTCAGACCCATTCCTTCCTTCCATCCTCTCTTCAGTTCTGGGAGGATTAAAAACCTGTGTTGGAGGACAAGGAGAAGCCAGAGGAGCGGTGAGTGAGCTAAACCACTAGAGGCACCGCAGTGGCCCTCCCCTGGAGGCCTTCCTGCAGTCTATTAGACCAGGCGAATGGTCCCTGCTAACTCTGGGGGGGTGAGGGAGGAAGCAAGCAATAGTGGGCAGACAGGCCCTGCTGCCACAATTCCATGGCATGTTCCACACAGAGAGCTGCTAAGGCAGGGAGACGTGCTGTCAGATGTTTGGGCAGTGCCCAGATATGGTGCTGCCTTTGTGGGGATTGGTCCCTGTTGGCCTCCACCATCTACAGTCAGCACCTTTGCAGATTTTTTTTTAACATTTATTCATTTTTACATTTTCCCACAAACATTTGCTTTACATATAAAAAAAAAATTGCTCTTACTCCAGAGTTCTTGACAGTTAATAAACAACTTTCAAAATTTCAGGAAACTGAATTTAAAGATAATTATCAACATACTTGTTACTGTTTTGTTTGTGACTCTATAACAGAGACAGTATGGTTTTAAATATTTTTGAGAAAATATTTACATATCAACTCCTCAGACTGTTGAAAAGCAAACACCCAACACACCATTCACACAGGAACCTTCTCAATTCAGCCCTGCCTACCCAGTATTCTGTGATATACCATCTGCCAGCAATGATCAGTCTCTTTTTCTTTCTTCAAAGTCTTCCGCAAGATAAACCTCTGGTTGCAGCTGCTCTTTTGCAATCTCTACTGATTACAATGTGGGACTGGAAAAATCCAGGTTATTTTATGGTACAAATTCTTTCATATAGATTCTCTAATCCTCTCTGCCAGGCAGAACTGTTCAGGGTGCCAGCCATCTTTCCAAGCGCTTCCATTGGCTTACTTGAGATTTACCTTAGTTCCATAATTTTCTCGTTTAATCTTCAGATATGACATTCCAGTCAAAGCCCTGTCCAATAATGAGTATTTCTAATTTCTGATTCAAGGCAACAGGGATTACTGAACTTATGCAAATAACCCTTCTGCCACAAAAATAAGAAAACTCCCAAATATTTCCAATTCCAGAGGGGTCAGGAAGGGAGAAAAGTTTATGTTTCCATTTAAAGAAACACAAAAAAGAAGAAAAAAAATTTTAACAAATTGCTAAGCCTATCAATAACTCAAAAGAAAGCACAATCCTTAAATTGGGAAAACAAAGCATAGTAAAGAAAAAGACAGTAATGTTTTACTCAAAAGTCATAAATTTCTATTGCTTGCTTTCTCACTTTCCCTCTCTCTCTTTCTCTGTCGAGCACACATGCCCTATAGCAAATTAATAATAATAATTATTATTATAATAAAATTAAATAAATAAGTATTTTGTTTCTGAGAGAGAGATTTTTGCTATTAAGGTGTGTGCGCTCACCAGAGAGACAGAAAGCGAGAAATCCCCTTCCATGGGCATGGCCACACCACAATCCCTTCTCCTCCTTTCTCCTCTCAGGATTTTGGGCATGCACACACATGTATCTGGCATGAGTTTCAAGCCTCCAGGTCTGGGACTTGAATAGTAGAAGACCACATAGGAGTCCTGCACCTTAACCCTGATCCCACCTGCTGGTCCAAAATAAATAATTCTTTTAAAAAGGAAAGTACCTGAAGGGACAACTTTTCTTTCCTGGCTTTCTGATTCATAGATCTCCTGAATTTCCCCATGAGTTTCTTCCTTTCTTTCTTTTTTTTTTTTTTTTTTTTTTTTTTTTAGGGG